TTCTTTAATTACTGTAATCACAGAAATTAAAAAGTTGTTGTCCATAAATTGTGTCTACTTCAGCGAAGACTGACATATTTATATAAGTATTATATCTAAATATTACAATCAAATGCAATATCAATGATTTGTTTTCACATTTGTTTCCTTCGGTCGTTTCTTATTTGTTTTTTTATCAATCGCGGAGGTAAATACTTCAACCCCCATGACCAATACGGATCGAAACAAACAAAATTAATTATAGCATTCATTTCCCTAAATGAAAATCTTGAATTACTGCTGAAAGTGAGTTTTGTGAAAAAATAACGAAATTTTATTTGGGACGGTCCCTATTCTTGGAGCGAAATGTACAAGTTCCACCTGAAATATACAAGGCGCACCTGTGATGTCGACATGTTTACCGGCATGGAGCGACTCGAACTGTCGTTGTCAGCTGTTCTCACAAACATTCCTCAACCGTGGGTGGTTTCTCGCCAGCCCGTATCAGACAAACATGTTTTAGGATGGGCTACACTTCTTGAAAACAATATACTAACCCAAGCATATAACGAATTAATAATAAAAAATACTAAGTGCGGATTCGAAAACTAACTACCCACTTTGTCTTTTCGAACTCATTTTCGTAATTTTAGACTATAGAATTGGTTTTTGAAAGGGTAGTTGAATGTTGATTAATTTTCAATAGTTGGTGGTTTAGAGGGAAGATTAGGTAAGGTGAGAGCTACCAACGGACATCAAACGGAGAGAGCTACCCACGGACATCCTGACACGGTACAGGTAACGGAGAAGGTTACCAAGAGACATCCAACGGAGAGAGCTACCCATGGACACCCTGACACGGTACAGGTAACGGAGAAGGTTACCAAGAGACATCCAACGGAGAGAGCTACCAAGGGATATCCTGACACGATACAGGTAACGGAGAAAGCTACCCACGGAGATCAAACGTGGAGAGCTACCCAGGGACATCCTGACACGATACAGGTAACGGAGAAAGCTACCCAGGGACATCCTGACACGATACAGGTAACGGAGAAAGCTACCCACGGAGATCAAACGGAGAGAGGTACCCATCGATATCCCTGACACGATACAGGTAACGGGGAGAGCTACCCACGGACATCCTGACACGATACGGGTAACGGAGAAAGTTACCCAGGGACATCCTGACACGATACGGGTAACGGAGAAAGTTACCCAGGGACATCCTGACACGATACGGGTAACGGAGAAAGCTACCCACGGACATCAAACGGGGAGAGCTACCCACGGACATCCTGACACGGGAGATTAACTCAGGGAGCTTCCCTGCATCCCCTCTCCCCGTGGTCTATCATCACTCCACCGCCTATCAGCACCTGTAGTCCCGATATCGCGTGGCCACACGGGATATATTCACACACACGGGGTCTGGTTTCAGTGCATTAACCTGCGCACATTCATAACGTGAGTTTTCCAAGACTGTGTTCACGAAGAGGATTTAATCTTAAACCCGTTAGCCCGGGGATACGTCTTCTAGATAGCCCACGTCTACGTATAGACAAATATGCCTTACTCAATAATTATATTTCCGTCAATCCGGACATGTGTCAACCCGGATAAAATATGGTGTGGTTGATTTATAATTTTTTTCTAATATTTGCATAATGACCTAGGGTTGCGTTAGTTTTTACTTGTTTAAAATACATGTTCAGAAAGGCCATAAAATTCCTGCGCCCAGAATCCACTGCAAGTACAAAAGCGTGACGTCATCATAATCGTTTATTGTCGTAAAAGATGACAAGGATCGGCACCGGGGCTCGCTTGCACCAACCGACCTAAGCGTTAAGACCAACATAACTCCCCTACTTTAATAACAAAGACTTACACTAGTCAAAGATAACTTCGCGTAAGTTTGTGTTCTCGTTACCCATTAGTCCCGCGCCATGACTGCGGAATTTTACTAAAAGCCAAGGCAAGTCTAGATCAAACTAAAGCAAGTCTAGTTTCCTTGAAAACAGCAGAAGTGAATAGGTTCTTTTGAAGAAAAAACAACATTTGTTTTAAAGAAATGTTTTCATAGTCTGATTTCCCATCGTAATACTATAATGGTTAATGCGCTCGCTCGTCATGGGTACAACGTGTGAAGCCCATTCATGGTGTGATCTGCAGTGGCATTACTGGAAAAGTCTGGACTTAAGCCACTTGTCCAGAGCCCGTATCTAGTAAAATTGTGTTTGGTCCAGTAAGCTCCGCTAATAACGGTTCCTATAATAAACTCAAAATATATTCATTAAAAATGGTGAAGAAAAACTATATTCCGGTTAGTAGACTCAAAGTTGCTGAAATATTGCTAAAAGCTGCCTTAAACCCTACTCACTCACTCACCCTACTCGCATGTTTAATATAGAGTGTATGGAGACATCTATGCTCTTGCTATCTCATAATGTGTGTACAACATTGTTGTTTAACGCCGCACTCAGCAATGTTCCAGCTATATGACGGCCGTCTGTAAATCCAGTGATTGACATCATGAGCATCGATCCACGCAATTGGGATACGATGACATGCATCTACTAAGTCAGCGAACCTGACCACCCGATCCCATTAGTCACCTCACGACAAGCAAGGTCGCCTTTTTCGGCAATCATGGGTTGCTGAAGACCTTTTCTTCCCCGGATCTTCACGGGTGTGACGTTTGTTTGTTGTTTAACGCCGCATTTACCAACAGTCCAGCAATATTACGGCGGCCTGTAAATAATAGAGTCTGGACCAGACCAACCAGTGATTGATATAATGAGCAGCATCCAACGCCGTCGGGGTACGATATGACACGCAATCAACCAGGTCAACGAGCTTGTCTCGTAGTAAAAATACACTATAACAGTGAAACCCTACTGTTCTGAACTTAAGAGAAACAGTACAACTATTTAATCTGATTTCTTGATACTGCTTATTCTTATGTGAAAACATTCTGTATTCTAATGAATGGCATCAATGAAACCAAGCCTATAATAGCTATCCATCCCGATCTCGCTGTATTCTCGTCTCAAAAACTCTCGCGGTTTCTCGCGTACGGGCCTTACTCTCGCCGCGTTTCGGCGATCGTCATTGATGTGGAAATATACCGGTGGAACAACATGATAAGACTTTTTTGCTTCAGTGGCTGCGGCAGTTATTTACGTTGGAAATATTTGCAGCCATGTCGATGCTGCGAGATAGCTGGCGATGGCCCTGACTCACGCTTGTGAGATAGCCCGTTGATACTATTTGCTTGAAGAACCAAATGGCTCCGAGAAATTGTGCTGTTTATATAAATGTACCTGATATGAAAATTGCCACCCATTGTTAAGATGAGTTCGTCGAAGATGATTTTGTTGATGAGGATAGCAGTAGTTATGGTAACAAAAGAAAAAGAAAACCAAAACACATTCATAATATTATGATGACGATGATGGCCATCACCAATGCTATAGATGTATTTTTTGTGTTTATCAACATTTCTTTTCTTACATATACCCTCCATTGATTCATGATCAGCATACCAGTCGTTTATGCTTACTTTATAAAAGATTAATAACTGATAATTATGCATAACACAGAGAGGAGATCGGGCATCAATAATGGCCATTACGTAACTTACATGTAATTGAAAATATATTTCTTCAAGGTCTCGGTCTTCCGAACGAGACCTCGATTATATGAATTATTTTTTTTAGTAGGAACAGATGTTTTCCTGAGTACAAATACTTTATACCATAGGACATTCCACTTTGTGACGGCTTTTTAACACAAGATGAACTGATCACAGTGCTGCTGTTAAATTAAATTGACTGTTGGTTTCATTAATGAAATAAAGGAAACTCATGAATATGTATTTCTTTCCTATAAACATGCATACATAGTAGTCAATGTTCAAAGTAAGCTGGGAACGACTAGTAAGATTGGTTGGTTGGTTGGTTTGTTGTTTAACGCCGCACTTAGCAATGTTCCAGCTATATGACGGCGGTCTGTAAATAATCGAGTCTGGACCAGACAATCCAGTGATTGATATCATGAGACTAGTAAGATGATCAGTCACTTATTTCAGTATTAAGCCACCAGGCTCAAATACAATTAATGCAAGAAAGTTATTTTGAACATGTGTCATATCAAATATTTACAATTGTAATCGGAGATTTATGGCAATTTTAATGTAATTTGCTTAATGTTTTAAATCAGAGGACTGCGACATTGTTATCAAACTATATTTTGGATTAACATAAGTATGGGCATTAAACATGGGAAATGTTTTGAACGAAGATTATACTACATTTTTTAAAATTAATCACGAAATTACATCAACAAAACCCTCATCATCACCATCATCACTAATGCAATGCCGCGTCTTGGTCACGTGATTACAGGTTTCTGCGGTCCCATAAAACGATCGCTGTCAAAAGGATAGTTCGTGTTGGACAGCTAAGGTACGCGGACGGAGTGTTGTCCACAAACAATGTCTGTCCACGATGGCAAACAGTTACCTAGCCCGATGCAACGTTGTGTACTTACAGCCTACATACAAACAACAGTATATATGGAAACGATTGTTTTAAATATATATACAATCCTGCGATAGACACCAACAGTTTTTGTCGACTATTCCTTATAATGATAACATAACCTTTAAAAGGGCACGTTAAGTTTTTATAACCTAACTATTGGTCAGTTTTGCAAGGACTATAGAACTAGTGCCAATTTCTAACGCTGCAATCTCTGAAATGGAATAGCATAAGTTGACATCCATCACAATACAAGATTAAGAGAACAGATGGTTAAAAAGTATGATAAAAGTCATAAAAATATGAGAGTATGATTCGCATAGGAAAAAACACCAAGCACATACCTTCTAAAACTTAACTATTAAACAAAACAACTAAAGTCTCTCCTTTGGAGAAATGAAATAAACCCTGGTATGTATATTATAACCATACACATTTCAGTCGGAATTAACCCAGCACATAAATGAGTAACTCTCTCACCTTTAGACGAATCGGCACCTATTGTGTAAGTAAAGCCAGTCCATACCGCTAAAATCACAAGCAAACGACACAACATGGTATCCGCGGGCCGTCAAGTCGCAGCGTTCATGTATCCCTCATCTTTCCACGAATCCGAATCACGAAGTGTCTACCTCCAAGAGTAACCGGAGTCTGGTCGGCTGCAGCACCTCGAGCGATATCGGGAACATATTTGATAAGAAGACCACGAGCAGACGACTCTCTATCTATCCCTTATCACGTGACCAAACGTCAACAATGGCGTATTCAGAACGACCGGAGTCGAGGAAAGGGCAAGCTGGTTAGGTTCCTTCGGCCTAGAATTGTAGTATTGTATTGGAGAGGAAATGTTTATCACTGGCGCTGTACGGAACTCGCCAGAAGTTTACAGCAGGTGGTTTTCGTTTGAGGCCAAAAGCGCCAACAGCATCCGCCATATTCACCGCGTGAT